CTATATATGTTGTCAAGAAATAGTAGAATGGTGTCTTCCACACTTCTCCCGTGACGATATGCGAATTGTAGAAAGTCCTGGATTGTTCTATGTACGTTCGTAGTCTTTTTAGCACAATATTTTAAAAGACATTTTATAACTACGGGTGTTAAGGCTATTGTCCTAAGGTCATTCGTTTCAGTAACTTTTTCTTTCTTTGGAAGGGGGACGATTTCAGAACATTTCCAAATAGTGGGAATAGCATGTGTCAACAACGACTGTTTAATAATATAGATGTAAATAAAACGAAGTTGTGCTGGACACATTTTCAGTATTTTGGGTTGCACACCGTCTGGACCACACGCCTTTCTCACATTCACACGTCCAAACACACATCTAACCTCATGTTCTTCAACAACAACAGCACTATTTTCATTTGTGTTTGTGTTCACATAAGGCAAGTCACACGGACTGTCTTTGTCAAAAAACGGGAGAAAAAGGCATTAAGTTTATTTGCATAGCTCTCTTCGTTGTCAACACATATGTTTGTTGGTTTATTTTTGTAGCCCACTATGGTCTTAAGCCCAGTCCATGTCTCTTGAGAGTTATTTGAACGAAACAGATCTTTCTGTTTCTTTTTATAGTTTTGCTTTTCAACCCAGATTACTTTCTTAATAGCTTTGTCTATGACTTTTAGTTCTCTTTTGTTATGGTTTTTAAAAGCCTTTATCTTTCTATGGATTAGGTCTTTGACTCCAGAATTTACCCACGGTTTAGAGTTAGGAAAGATGGTAACTTGTTTTTTAAGGGCCGCTATATCTACACAAAATTTAACATAGTCTGTGACTGTTGTCATAAATCATTGATATCACAACATGCATTAATAAAAACGTTCCAGTTGGTACAGTCAAAACATCCTCTTAGTTGATCTTCGCTTTCTTCAGTCCAAGTGGTGACTGTTCGAACTTCTGGCTTCGTTCGTCTCGATACTGGGCAGAGCAGAGGGAGTAATAGAGACATGTTGTGGTCAGAGTTACCGATGGGTGGGAGGACAACACACTTGTAGGCTTGGGTGACATTGCCGTAACACAGATCTTATGACCTTTGGCGTCTCGTTGGAATGTCGACGTACTGGGTCAAGTTGGATAGGGCGGCGGTAACAGTACAGCTGTTGAAGTCACCGGTAGTAAAGATAGCCGCGTCAGGAGATTTTGTGGTTTGGTTGTGAATGAGGTCGGATAGAGTATCGGCAGCAATTGGGACGTTGGCGTGTAGAGGAATATACACAGCATTCCTAAACATGTCCAATATAAGATCAAAGTAGATTTTAAGCAAAGATCTAGTTTGAAAACTTATGAAGTTTTGTAATGTTTGAATCTGCCACATGCC